TGTTGAGGGGGACAAACCGGTACAACGTCTTAGGATTGAGTGTTGAAAGGTTTGTATTTTTTTTAATGTATACGCAGGAGCGTTACACGATGTAGAGTAGGGATATTCAATTTTGGATCTAACAATAGATTTGTAAACGTTTAATGCTTTCCTAGGTGGGAGTCCGGTGTGAATGTTGGTCAGAAGTTTGATGACATTTGAGCCTGTGTTGCAATTTTCGAGGCTATCCTTGTAATGCTCATGCGTGGTTAAACTTGAGTTGAGGAAGACGGACTGATTTTTATACCATTGATTGTAATGTAAAACATTTTTTTGGGACCCTTAGCAAAGCGAACGACTTTTGATTTTTCCGGGTTGAAAGTTAGATTTAAGTCTGCACAAAGTTTGTGAAAAAGATTGGCTTTAGTGTCGAGGTTACGGACTGCTTCCATTAATGATTTTCCAGCAGAGATGATGAGGAAATCGTCAGCATATTGAAATAAATGGGTAGAATTGTCCTGTAATTGATGTAAACCGGCTGTGTATAAATTGAAGAGAACTGGGCTGAGACAGCTACCTTGAGGTAAGCCTCCACAAACTTCGACTGTATGTGAATCTAATACGAGAGTTCTCGAGGAAAGAAAGTTGAGAACCCAATGCCTATTTTGTGTCGGGATTTTAAAATCAGATAGAATTTGGTCCAGTTTCGCTAAGTTTACACAGTCGTAAGCTTTATTAATGTCTAAGCAAAGCATGACTACCTGGTTCCCATTTGCTTTTTCATTTGCAATTGTGAAAAGGACTTCATTAAGGCACATACCGCTGGAGATATTTTTTTGGTAAGCAAAGGACCTTGACGGGAGAAGGTGTGAGTAATTCAGGAATTTTGTTAGTGTTTCTTTAATCATTTGGTTGGTAATTTTTAGAAGAACAGGCAAGAGGGATATGGGTCTGAAGTTGGTGAATATTTCAAGATCTTTTCCGGGTTTAGGAATGGGCACTATTTTAATTGTACGCCAAACGGTGGGAAACGAGTTGGTCATCCAGCGCTCATTTATAGCAGATAGCAGGGTTAGAAGGCTTGGCATGGGAAGGACCTTTATCATTTCATATTTGATTCCGTCATGGCCTGCTGCTGTGGACTTCTTTTTCGACTTAAGGACGTGCATGAGTTCATCAAGGGAGAATGGAGAGATGTTTTCCATCCGAGAGTTAAGTAAGGAGGTTTGGAGACCACATGTCGAGGGAACTTGAGCTTTCAGCCATTCAAGGTAGGATTTGTTGTTGAGATCATCCCAAATGGGGTGCTTGTATTTCTTTTTTGTGGTGCGATGACCATTTAAAAATTTCCAGAATAGCTTTGTATTGCTATTTGAGCATAGTTCTTCGATAACGAGGGCTCGATGGCATCTTTTGGCTTTTCTAGTCGATTTCTTCCATTCTTTTTGTGATAACTTGAAATCTTCAAAATTAGAAATATTGGGGTATTTGGAAAATTTTTGTTTAGCAGCCTGTAATCTACGGAATTGTGAAGTGAGCAGCTCGTTCCACAAAGGTTTTGGTGAGTAGGAATTCGAGATTTGGATGTCGGATTTGGCGTTAATTATTTCTTGTTGAAATGAGCACTGGATAGATTCGACCTGTGGCTCAAGACATACGTGAATAAGATTATTTAGGAGTTTTTTCCTCGAGATAAAGTCATTTATCTTGTACGAGGTAATAGAGGTGGCATTAAAGAGAATAGGAAGGTGGTGGCTGTTTCCCAGGAAAATTTCTTTTTTAACCTCCCGTTTGAATGTGAGATGGGTTGCGTTAGTGAAAGTAAGATCCAACACGCTACCACAATTGTTGGTCGTAGAGTGAAAATAGGTTGGTGAATTATCATTCAAACAATAGAAGTTACTAGCTTTAATGATTTCTTGCAAGGCTTTGCCTTTATTGTTTGACACGGAGTCACCAAAGCAAGGGTGTCTTGCATTGAAATCTCCTGCAATTATGACATTGTGGAAACTATTGAGCATATCACAGAGACGATTAAAGTCATCCCGGAAAGATTGAATGGGGATGTTGGGCGTGAAATAGCAAGCAGCAATGACGATATTAGGTTTTAGACAAGAGGTTTTGATAATGACTATGTCAGCAGTCGATTTAAATGGGATTTGTTTGAAGGATATGCCTTTTCTGGCAAGGATGGCAACACCTCCATAGCCGTCACTTCTACATTTATAAGCGGAGTTGTAATTTGAGATTTTGAGATCGGAAATTTTTTCATCGGACAGAAAGATTTCACTCAAGATGGCGAAATCAGTACGGTTGGAATTTATGAAAAAATCAAGAGAATGGGCATTACGTCTGAAGCTTTGTATGTTATACTGTAGGAAGGACGTCATGAGAAATGTTAGAACATGATAGGGCCGACCCAGATGTACCTTGTTTTAAAAGATCAAATTTTGATTTAAGGGAACTTATTTCTGTTTGGATGGTTTTAAGCATGTCTTCTTGAGAAGAGATGGAGAGAATCCTGAAAATCTTTTCCAGAATTATCTCCATTTCAGTGGATTTATGGTTATTGACGAAAGTATGCTTTTCAGGGGGCGGGGTAGGTTTTTTTGGCTCCTGCGACTTGTTACTGTGAGTCGAGGGCGTCTTGAGAGACATTATATGCAAAGACTTGGGAATACTTGTTTTATTTTTTAAAACTGCATTGAAGTTTTTGTTAATTAAAATATTATTTGTATCAATAGTAGGGTCTCTGATATTGTTAGGAGCATTGCTGTCCTTCATTGCTGGGAAGTTTACGTCATAGTTTTCAAGTAAATTGTACGGGTTGTTAGAGAATTTCTCTTTGTATTCTCTAAAAGATAAATTCTGGATGGTTAAAATTTTTTTTAAATTTTCCTCTTTCTTTCTTTTTGGACACTCTCGAAATGTTACGTTGTGGTCCAGCGACCCGCAACCTAGACATTTGATTGAGAGGCATGAGTCCGTAGGACAGGCCGGTGACTTGCCACAGTTCAGGCATCTGCTTTCCTTACTTTTGCAGAATTTGGCGATGTGACCAAATCGGCCGCAATTATAGCAGAGCCTGACGGAAGGAATGAAGTAGTCAACTGGAATATTGCAATAGTTGAATTTTATACTCTTGGGAATTAGTTTACCCTTGAAACCAATTTTTAGGCTGTTTGTTGGGATGAACATTTCTCTGTCTGCAGGGTCTCTTCTGAGGATTCTTGTAACAGAAATGATTTCAATATCCGAGGTAGCTGAGTTGAGAAAGTCCTCTTCCTTAATTGAAGGTGGAATGTTTTTTACGATCCCAAATTTTTCTGTGAAAATTCTAGGGATGTAGGCCTTGCAAGACTTTGGACCAAAATCATTGTTTATTATAAAGTTGTTGGCATCAACCGCAGTGGCAAAACCAAGTTTGGCTTTGCCATTGCTGATGGTTTTCATATTAATCAAACCATCCAATTTGAGATCTTTGATGTGTTCGAAAAAAAATAAATCTGAGTTAAGGCGAAAAGGTTTCTCTAGGTTATTGTTGCATACTTCAATGAATACGTAGCACTCACCGGTCGTGTCGTCACTATAACGATTTGGACTAGTTGGGTCAGAGCTCTTTCCTTTTATGGGACTACTATTATTGTTACTGTTCACCGAGCTGTCTTTATTGGGAGGCTTATTCCTAGAGGGAGCGATCGGGGACTTTAAGGAGGTGATATTGACATCCTCAGTCAAGTCTTTTACAGATGAATTGTTCTTATCAGAGATGATCTTTTTGAGACCTTCGTTCTGGGCTGTGATTCTTCTTTTAAGTGAACCCTTGCTATGCGTGATTCGAACAAAATTTTCGAAATCATCATCGTTTGATAACATGTTTGAGAGCCTCACCCCCTTGAGGGGCGGGCGACTTTTAGGTTTCGTGCTAGATTAAAGGCAAGAGAAAAGGATCAACTGACTTACCGAGAAAAGAATGGATATGGAAATCAGCCGTTTTTGGTGGAACCGACAGAGACAAAGAAGAACAAAGCCTTGTAAGTTAAAGCAGTTTTAAGAATTTGACAGGAATCGCCGCTACTTGATGTCCAATGTACAGGTGAGTTGACGAAGTGAGTCTTGTCAGGATGAGGCTGAAGACAGCAGGTGGTGCTGCGCAATTTGCGGATAAGCACAAGGACGTCGAAGCCTTTGTTGATTTTGTTTAAATGCCGCAACTTCACTATATATATTTTCACTACTTCAAAAGTTTTCAGAAACAAAAAAAAAAAAGGAGAATTTTTTTTCTTTTTTTTGTTGAAAAAAAAAATCTATTTTTCAAGAATTTTCTGCAAGAAAGTGTCTTATTTCATGCAGAGTTGCCGAGCGAATGGACGTTGAGTTCATCAAATTGCATTTACGTTGTTTATCGATTAATTACTCTCTCAAGTTACCAAATTCGAAGTTCAAATACATTGCAACAAATACTCTCTCAAATTACCAAATTCGAATTTCAAATACATTGCAACAAGTGGTCGCTCATTTAATTACTCTCTCAAGTTACCAAATTCGAATTTCAAATACATTGCAACAAGTGGTCGCTCATTTAATTACTCTCTCAAGTTACCAAATTCGAAGTTCGCTCATTTAATTACTCTCTCAATTTACCAAATTCGCAGTTCGTTCTTTTAATTACTCTCTCAAGTTACCAAATTCGATTCAGTTTTTTTTTTTCTATTAAGTTCAAGTGGCGAAACGGTTAAAGGACACGCGAACAATGCGAACAAAACTGAAAATATTTTTTATTTCCGTGATTTTTGCTAATTAGTCATAAACTATACAAATACACGATATATATTTCCATTTTAACAAAAAAGGATAAAACGGACAGACGCGCAGGCAAGCTCAGAATCTATGTGGTATGGTATGGTGTAAAAAAAAGTGTTACGGTGTAAAAAAAAGACTTAATACAATGTAAAAGTCGAATATAAGTAATTGTATTTCCACAACGGTGATGGTTGGTACAGTTGGCGATGTATTCTTTCACAAAATTCTATGAAAAAAGCAAATAAATAAAATAGCACCATAAAATGAGATTTGTTAAGTATCCTTGTGGAATAATATGCTTAATAATCACATACATTATGGTGATCTATGCATACTATGTAGTTATGAGATGGATTATATTACAAACAATGCAAGCTAAGTAAATATTTAAAGATAATTAAAATGACATGAACACGCACGAGAAATTTTGTATTTTTAGTATATGGGCTCCCTTGCATGTGGTTTCCTTTAATACGGTAGTCTTCCTATTGGCAATGTCTCACCTGAAAGCGGAACTGTCCGATCCCGGTTGTGTACCCTTACCAGCAAATCGTTTGGATTTTTCAGACATGCATACTGTAGGGAAAAGTACTGGTAATGGAAATAGTAGTAACGAATGGACAGTGTGCACACGTTGTGAAACTTATAGACCGCCTAGAGCACATCATTGTCGGATTTGTAAGCGTTGCATACGACGAATGGATCACCATTGTCCTTGGATAAATAACTGTGTAGGAGAACGTAATCAAAAGTATTTTCTACAATTCCTTGTCTACGTAGGTGTCC